TTTTCATTTTTTTCTATTTAATCAACATAACGGTCCATTGATCATCTTATTCAACTCTTCATAATCATAACTTCCCACGTGTCATTTTCATTATCAATAGTATTATGATTACTACCATTATTATTGCTATTATTATTACTAGCATTATTATTATCAATATCGTTTTTAATAATATTATTATTGTTATTGTCATTATTATCTATATAAATATTATCGTTATTACTATTATTATCATTATTGATAATTTTTGATTTGGTATCATCGGTAATGATATCATTTTTACTATCATTATCATTAATACAATGTTACCAGTATCATTATCATTATCATTATCGTAATTCTTATTAATTTATCACCATTCGTATGATCAATATTATTATTATATTTAATATTATTTTTGTCCTTAATATCATTACTATTATTATTCATTATGGTTTACCATAATGATATGATTATCATTATCAATGATATCATTATTATATCATTATCGTTTATTAGTTTTAATTATTATCATTATCATCATTCATTAACTTTTATTAACACTACCGTTATCTTGACATTAATCTTAATTATGAATCAATTTAGTCGTTAATTCATCGGATGACCATATCCAAATGTGAATATCTTAATTAAAGTCCATGATACAATATATGTAAACATTATCATATCCCACCTTATCACAATATCATCTATTTACTAATATCTTTAATGAAACAAAGTCTGTGATACAATATCTCATCTTATCCTATCCCACCTTATCACAATATCAATCCTTTTCCAATATCTTAAGTCCATGATACATGTAAACATCTTATCATATCCCATATCACATCATCCATTTACTAATATCTTTAATCAAGCAAAGTCTGTGATCCAATATCTCATCTTATCCTATCCCACCTTATCACAATATCATTTTGCAATATCTTAATCAAACAAACTCCATGATACAGTATATGTAAACATTATCATCCCACCTTATCACAATATCAATCATTTTTCCAATATCTAATCAAACAAAGTCCATGATACAGTATATGTAAACACTTCCTGGTTGTAACTTCCGTAATAGAAGAACAATACACCTTGACGGCTGGCTGGTTTTTAATCTAAAAATGTCGTTCATACTCCTTTTTTTTCTTTTTTTTTTTCTTTAAATATTCGGGTGACTTTTGTCCTTTCCTCTTGTACTTCCTATGAAATATGGAGAGAGATAGGTTTAGTAGTTTGATGATTATAGTAATATTGATGATATGGTCGTGATAAGATATTGGTGAAAAAGATTCACCAATGCATATTAATATTGATGGTATAGTGTGCACTGTATGCTACCAGTCACGATGATACGGTGTTAATGGTGAATTCTGGGTTAAAGATACATTTTCCTGTCTTTGACTATCTCGGTGGCATCAAAGGAAGCGCTCGGATTGTATTTCAGAAAATAGAGTTGTGTGGCAGTGTAATGATTATGTAAAGTAGCCTTAAAAGTATAACACTGTGAGAAGACATTCATGAAGTCACGCTTTTGCTGTCTGATCCATCATGGACGCTGACGGCTGTCTTAACTTTTCCCTCCTCTCTTTTCGTTTTTTTTTTTTTCGTGTATTCTCTTTTCTTATTTCCATTTTTTCTTGTTTTTACTGGACTTTATCTCCAAAGGTATTCTCGTTCTCACGCCCGTTCTCGATCGCCTTAAGCTCATAGAAAGCCAGTTCAGTTCTTTTCCGTTTGTGGAGTTATAACAACAGGGAGCCAGCCTTGGCTTTTACCAGGGCCTTTGGGTGACTTAGAAGACAAGGAGGAAAAAGAAAAGGAAAAAAGTGCATATTATGCGGCCGCCGTTTTCAATCTCGAAATTCTTCTTTTTTTCTGGCCGAGGAAAACAATTTCCCTTTCATGGAAGTGAGCTTTGAGGGCGTGAAAAGCAAACCTTTCTTTCCTCCCGCCTCCTTCCTCCCGACCCCATTTTTTTTTCTCTCTCCTTTTTTCCCGCCTTTTTTGCAGACAAAACGACTACGCGCTGATCCCCATCGGGTGCGGCACGTGAGCGAGAGAGAAAGAGAGAGATGGGAGGGAGAGGAAGTAGATAGAGAGAGGGAGGGAGAGAGTAAGACGTAGGGAGGGAGGCAGAGAAACAGAGAGGGGAGGAGAGGGAGAAAACGAAGAAGAGAGAAGGGGGGGGAGGAGAGAAAGTGAGCGAGATAAAGAAAGACAAAGAGAGAAATAAACAGGCAGAGATAGGGGAGAGAGAGAGAGAGAATGAAAGAAGAGAGAGAGAGAATGAAAGAAGCAGAGAGAGAGAGAAAGAAGCAGAGAGAGAGAGAGAGGAAAAGAGAGAGAGGGGGGGGAGATGCAGAAAGTGACAGATGGTGAATAAGCAGAGACAGAGCGAGAGAGGAATAAGTAGAGAGAGAGAGAGAGATAAGCACAGAGAGACTACCAAGGTCGCCCCCAGCTCCCAGGAAGTAAGGTCATTGTGCGTGGTCTGCGGGAATCAACC